ATCGTCGTTTTGTGCAAGGGTGGCGTAAGATTATTGCAAAATTTCATGTTTTCCGTCCCGTTTTGCATGTTTCTCGGAAGCAAAACGAGCAAGAACGCTCGTTTTTACATCATTCTAGGCAGAAATAAATGACCTTTTTAGAAAGTGAACCATCGATAAGGAAATGTTGGCAGTTTTTTCAAAAAATGCTTAAATTTAAGAAGTTTTAGATTTGCGTGGGTTTTTTTTCAGTTGCAAACTCCACTTGAACATGACGCTGCTTTTTTCGAAGTTTCTCAAGAACCATTTGAGCCACAGAATTCGTTTCGGCATCGTTGGATAGATAATTGAAAACTCGATTCAGTCGTAACAACGCGAGTGAGGAAATTCGAGTAGTTTTGACTCAGAAAGCGAAATTTGAATATCAGACACTTAGGTGCAAGATTATGACAAAATTTCATGTTTTCTGTCCCGTTTTTGCTCATTTCTCGGAGGCAAAATGAGCAAGAACGGTCATTTGTACATCATTCTAGAAAGAAATAAATGGTCTTTTTAGAAAGTGAACCATCGATAAGGAAATGTTAGCAGTTTTCTCAAAAAATGCTTGAATTCAAGAAGTTTTAGATTTGCATGATTTTTTTTGAGTTGCAAAATCCACTTGAACATGGCGCTGCTTTTTTCGTAGTTTCTCAAGAACCATCCGAGCCACAGAATTCGTTTTTGCATCGTTGGGTAGAGAATGATCCCCATGTAAAAAAGAAATCCAGTGGCGGGCCCGGGGAATTAATAGGCAATTATCTAACTTGAACCGCGCCTTGTAGGCAGGGCGCAAAACTCAAACGCAGTTTGTCCATTTTTATCTAACACCCTTCTACAATTGCACATTGAATTCTACAAAAGCATAAGGTCTTAAGGACTTACCGGATTGATGGCTACACTCGAGGCACCCAAAGAAGGTTTCTTTACTGACGAGAAGCCCAAAGAGACCGAAGAGCGCACATAATGACCCAAAAAAACCCGTAAAACGCCTGTTTCTACGCTTAATTGCTCGCCGATATGGAACGCGCGCCTTCGATCCTTTAATCCAATTTCTTATTAGGCTTCTATAATTGATACTTGTCCATCGCCTGGATTGTTTCTGGCACCAAACAATTAAATAATAATTAATAAACGTCGTTGTTTAATTATTTGCAGCGATTTTAGCCGAGCAGCTCTGAAAATTTTTTCCGTGTAAACCGCGATGGAATTTTGCCAACACTGGAGGAAAAATTAATCGAAAATCTCTTAAAATACTGCAGAAAAATTATATATTTACGATTAAATAAAAAAAATGGCCGTTATTGCACCCGAGCGGTGGTTGCAGCGCAATTGATCCGTGACGTCAAGCGGTTAGACAGCATAGCCAACCAAACAAAACCCAAACTTCCCTAGTTCAGTCTCTTGTCACCTCAAAGAGCGTATACGAGTGTTTCCGACTGTTTGAGTGCAATGAGTAGAATTGGAGCCCTAACTTTGGAGATTTTCGCTTGGCAATCAGCTCCCCTTGTTATTTCAGTGGTTTAACAGCCTCCAGTTGCATAGGAGAGGTACGTATGATAGTTTTGAAGGCCTAAAAGCGGCGTCCATCGATTTTGCACGACGCCATTTTGCGAGCGGCTTGCCCTCCCTTTTGCCTTATCTGCACGGTATTTTACTGATTTTCCAGGGCTTCAGCCTCTTTTGGCCCCATTTTTTGTTATGGTGTTTTTCATTTTTGCATTGTGGTTCAATGTGGCCAAGTAGCTGGGGGTTTTCACGGTTTTTGGCGCTCATTCGGCGGAAAATTCAGTCATTTTGTTGCCCCCGGAAATAATCACTTGGTGCTGATTTGGATGGGAAAATGTCCGACTTTGGCTTGTCCGACCGGCGGTTAGTCGGTCAATTTTGGAAAAATGGAAAATGTGGAAATTATGTTTGAATTCGGACAGTCATGAAACGCAAAGGGGTTTCAGTACTGGGGTTTTTGCCAAATCAGAAAACATTAATTAGTCAATACTAATTCGAGGTTATGTCATAGGATATTATGGTCATTCGTCAAATTGTCCAGAAATATTTCAGACGCCCCGTGCCAGTATTTTGCTTAGAAATAATTGGTGAGGCTAAATCCAGCAAAATTTTGAAAGCTTCACTGTCCATACGAAGATAATTTTTTAATTATTAATGACATTTGCACATATTTATTACAATCTTTCCTCCATTTTTTTCACCCAGATTCTCTTTTTATTCTTTTCTTCATCAAATTCATTTACACGGAGCCACTTTCATTTTTTTGCCTAATTTTGTACATTTTGAGCTAAAACGGTTCCTAAAATTAAAAAAATTCTTGTCACTTGAACTTGTCATCCAGAACAAACAGCAACTTGAAATTTACAGAGTCTATAGGAGACATATGCCTCTAAAAATCCTACAAGTGTCATTGAAATTGCATTTAAATCTGATTTTTGCGCTCTTTATAAGCACAGGTGAAGAAATGCTCAACTGCCCGAGTCTTTGAACAATGGTAACTTCCCATCCAGGGCTGGCAGCTACTTGAAATTTGCACACCCTATAGAAGACAATTGTCTCTGAAAATCCTGAAAGTTTAATTCAAATCGCAATAAAATCTGATTTTTGTGCGATTTGTAAGCACATGTGAACAAATGGAACTTTTCGCACAGCTGCACGATCCTCTTTAAAAATCCGTAACTTTCCATCCAGAACCCGCAGCAACTTGAAACTTCTAGGCACTATAGAAAACACTTGACTCTAAAAAGCCAGACAGTTTTATTCAAATTCCTTTTAAATCTGATTTTCCGCGCATTGTAACCACACATGAAAAAATTTACATTTTTTGCTCAACGGCAAGATCGTCTTTCCATCAAACATAGGCAGCAACTTGAACTTTGCAGACAGTTTAGAAGACACTTGATTCTGCAAATCCCGAAAGTTTAACTTAAAACAGAAAAACTTTGTTTTTGCGTGCTTTGTAAACGCAGGTGAATAATTGCGAGTTTCCACCCAACTGCATAATCGTCTTTAATAATTCGTAACTTTTCATCCAGAGCAGGCAACAAAAAACTTGCAGACAAAATAGAAGACACTTGACTCTGCAAACCCTGAAACTTTCATTCGAATTACAATAAAACCTGATTTTTGCGCGCTTTGTAAGCGCAGGTGAAAATTGCGAGTTTTCACGCAACTGCATATCGTGTTTAAAAATTCGTAACTTCCCATCCAGAGCAGGCAGCAAAGTGAAACTTGCAGACAATATAGAAGACAATTGACT